CTATTTGGCACGTATATCTTGGTAGCGGTGTTCATAGTTAATCTCAACTCGACGCCACGCTACAATTGGTAATCCCAATACGAATACAATTGGTAATACCAATTCGACTACAATTGGTGACCCGTATTTTGGAACACGCCTCAACTTCTGACCAAATCTTCCAAAGAAGCCAATTCGGTGAGTCTATCTATCTATCCACGTCTGTCGTATATTTTCATATTTTTTAATATATAATATACGCGACATGACGGATAACGATAAGAATAGTATTAATATAATAGACTCACACGTATGTGTACCGAATCCTTGTCACTATTCGCGTGATGATGAATTCCACGCTCTATTCGAGAAATGTTACCCTATTAACGATTCTCCTCGCTGACCCGGCTGCTTGGTACGGAATGCATACGCATAAGCATATCCGTCTACCACCCAGCACCAAATGGTTAAGTTGAACGGTTTCACTGCCAACTTAAAAGTGTTCTACGAGCACACGAAAACGGCAACTGGCACGAAACCTTACCGCTCGTTCTTTTAGGGGGGGAGAACGAGCTTAAAGGCAGATATCCAATGTTCCGCCACTGAACTTGTATACGGCACGACATTGCGTCTGCCCGGAGAATCCTTCACACCACGGAGCAGACCTAATTTCGGTAAATCAGACAACGTCCGTCGACTGTCTGCATTTATGTGAACGCTGTCTCCGGTGTCAACTCGAATACAACATCGACAGGTCGCTCTCCTTCGAGAGTTATCTACCTGTTCACATGTTTTTGTACGAGTAGATTCGGTACGCAAACCTTGGCAACAACCTTACGAAGGCCCTTTTCGCGTGATCGCTCGTCACGAAAAGACCTTCAAGGTTGATCGACACGGCCGCGTCGAGATCGTCAGCATTGATCGTCTCAAACCAGCACACGTCGATGACAGTGCCCTATCTGATAACCTGAGATTCAATGCTAGACCAAGTAAACCTACTAGCGGGATCCTCAAACCACCTTCAGGTCCCACGCTAGATACAACTGAGACCTCACTCTCACGTCCCAGTCAACAGCACGCGTCATCTGCACCGTCTACGGACGAGACGACAGTCTCACGTCCAGATCAGCAGAACACGCCGCCCTTGACTTCGGATGAGATTGCAGGCTCACGCGACGCGAACGAGACTATCGTCTCACGTTCCGGTCGCCGAGTACGGTTACCCGTACGCTTCCTCGATTAGTCGCACAGTCGACAACCGATACGGTGTAGGAATATTCCTATGCTACTTGCATGCTACACTCTTCTTTTTTGATTTTCTTTTTGTTTCCTGAGCCCACGCCTTCGACCATCTCCGTTTGGTTCCGTCGACTTCAGTCAACTTTGGCGAAAGCTGGATTGGCCACCCATGCTCTTGTCAACGTTTTCAGTCGATATATTGGTTTCGAATGCTTGGCATACGCTTGGTCTCGAACGTGGTCGTTACGGTCGCTTCTGGTCTTTTGGCTCAACGTGGTTTCGTCCTACGTCTGCAGCGTTTCTGGTGCGCACCTCTACGAACGCCCTCTTCAGATTCTGGATACAAACCACTCTGGTGTAGCATGCCGACTCGAGCAATCAATACAACACATCGCTCCTGGTACTGTTCTCCGAAAACGACCTTCGTTGGCAACTCGACGATCAACGATCGCTTTCCTGTTCGCCAATCTTTCCGTCCTACAATCGCTCGTCAGCCGATCAGTCCCACGATTCAAACCGCTATTTATCGAAAGTGTAAACCCTTTCTAGCGGGGGGCTCCTGTAGTGACTCACGTTTATCACGAGAACACGACTGGTTTAATAAAAACAATTATTATTATAACCAAGTGTACCAGTGACTGTTTTAACGTGCTTTTGTTTGACTGTGCTAATGACAGCTATTTTGTGCTTCCATTCTCTTACTTACTCTTTGATTGTAACTTCGCGCGAATTCGGTTACGTTCTGTAACCAAGATTGTATCCTGGCACGATCTCGGTATCCTTTCGATGCCACGAGATCGCCAGCAAATAAACATCGACTTGGTCCATTAATTGCCTTCTGGTATTCGGCTTCTCGGGGATTTTATGGAGTCATTTGGAACGAGCTTCTTACGCCTTCTGATCTATTTGGCACGTATATCTTGGTAGCGGTGTTCATAGTTAATCTCAACTCGACGCCACGCTACAATTGGTAATCCCAATACGAATACAATTGGTAATACCAATTCGACTACACACCTACGAATAACTCAGTTTTCATATCATGGGTTGGTGCTATTTAGTTTTATTCCAGGTTTGTTCCTAACGTGATGCACATTTCATCCCAACTTTTCGAATAGGTTTCTAGTAGAGAGGTTTGGTCAAAACAAAGAATCATAAAGATGTCTATTATTTTCACGGCTTAACAACTCTTGTGTTTTCAACATTTTTCTCACTAACGAGCCGAAAGTCAGCAGTCTAGGAGTTCAATGGTATATATTTTAGATAGTCGGTATGTGGAGAAGTATAATCTTAGCCAGTTAGTTATTGGGAGGGGTGAGTAGTACGGTATTCCCAAGCATGATCTGATGCACGTTCTTGACTGCGTACCTTTGAGAAGGGTGTATCCTGTAAAACTAATGAGTTCAGCATTAGTGTTGAAGACTCGGGAAAATCAATTTGTTGGTGATCTACTGCCATAGTCCGGAAATGGGATTTAGAACTATGTGCTTATGATTTCATCATTGAACGTTGAGTGGCTAAAGGTCTACTACATGCGGTTGAAAGACCATCCAATGAAGGCGATTGTCTGTTGGCACACCCATTAACTAATGATACGGTAGAACATGTAAAGGACACTTGTTAGTACTTTGAAAGTGTCGTAGGTGTGGTAACACAAAGTTGGAATGTTCAGCGTAAACACAGGATTTCTGAGTTTTGCATGAGGAAAGAGAACATATACATACGTGCTGAAATTAGTTTGTACTTTAATGTTTGAATAACTACTTTCCAAATGCTTTGACTTATATAACTTTGTGATATTCTCTTTGCCCATTTAAGGCACGTTTTCATCGGCAGTTCATACTGAATCACATGTCACTCATGAGGCCCTTAACAGATCAAATGCGTGAAAATGCGTTGGTTGACTTGATCAACAAAAATAAATCTCGAGGTTCAAGGACATTATCCTAAAACAACTACACTTTATTACCAAAACATAAAAACAACAATCAGTATCGTTGTAGACGCATCCAACTCAATAATCCGGGGAATCATCATCTAATATGCACATGTATTTGTATATTATTTTTTAAATAACAAAATCCAAAAGTTCATTTTTATGCCGAAACCTTTATTTGAAAATTAATATACAAATATATATATGCGTACCAGATGAAAGAGATTATTTGATCTTGACATTATAATATGAAAATACCGAAGATATAAGGAAATAGCTAAAAGTCACAAACAGTGAGATAAGACAAGAGCATACAAAGTGTCTCACGTGTAGATATTCAGATGTTTTTTAAGTCTGCGGTTCTTTTTTCTCTGTTCATATGAATTTCATATTGGACAAACACATTTATTACAGAGTATTTTATTCATAACCAACATGAAGTTAGTTTTCAACAGGTAGGTCAGAGATTAGTGAAAATTTTGTGGAACTATCTTTTTCAGATGTAATACTACTCGTAATCTTCGGAGATGCAATGACGCAGAATTTGATCGCGTTAATGAGGTTTAGAAGACCGTTTTGGCAGCTGAGAAATAACTTCTCGATTAACTTTAAAAACTCAAGCAAAAAATGTGAAAAACAGCGACCGCTCGAGTATGACAAGAACCTCAAATAGTTATAGAAAACGAACCCTAAAAACGTCAGAATAGCATTGAATTTCAGAACATGTATTGATCGAAAAACAAAACTTTTGTCAGCAGTAAACCGACGTATATAAAAGTTTCACAAACCTGTCCGGGATCACAGCATTAGAGATATCCTAATCCTGAACTACAACAATTTCTATGTAGCGGTAAATAAATCCCCAAAATAAATAGCTCTGTAAGTTTTCGACATTGGATGCTGACCATATGTATTAGTGGACTCATCTAGCTGAAGGCGCTCGGTCATGCATCCGCACCAGACCACGTGGTAACGCTGTGCTCAACATCTATCGCAATCGCCAGCCAGATTAGTTCAGAGGATTCCGATATATTGGTAGTCGCCAAAGACACTCTTCCGATCTCCTCGACTCTGTCTTTTGATTTCTCTGGGTGGGAACGAAATACATTAGAAGGTGTTACTGGTAAAAGCGTTGTCAAACACTGAATACCTGTGTCATCTTCAACTAAAAGCGTTGGTTGGTTGTCATTTGAAAACCTTCGTGTTACTTTCCCTCTGATCTCTCTTGGTCTTCTAATGTTTTAATTTGTCGGATAAATTTTCCTGTATGATTTAACACGTAAGGAGGTTGCGTGCTTTCGTCATTACTCTACATTTACTCTTACAATATGTCAATCCCTGCATATCACCTATTATTCTTTCCCGGGATTTCGAGAAAAGATTTCGCTGTATTGTTTGGAGTGCTGAAGAGAGCTATCAGGGTGTGCGGTGACTCTTTTAAGGTCATTACTAATACAATTGTGAATAGACATCTAAAGCCTTGCAAACTCCTGGCAGGTGGTATCTTATCAGGTATTAACCATCCAATTCATGCATATCTTTCTCCTTGTATGTCTTCTGGTAGAAACAGATGTCAATACATCAGAATTCATGCACCCAAGCAAAGGTATAAAAGTTCTATTATTCCGTACCTGGCAAATGTAACATGCGACGAACAGGTTGTTAGAGTCGACCTAGTCAATAGCTTGTATTCTTGAGCACGTTTCTAATTTTCTAAAAATGTACAGATTCAAAAAAACATTTCATTCAATTCCAGGTAGTTTATCTACTTAACTTGTATATATATGTATGCAGTTAGCAGTTTCCTTCACCCTTTTGCTCATTCTCTTAAAGAAACTTGTTGAAATACCTTGTGGGGAGAAGTCGATATTGTATTGAGTATATAATGCTGATAATAATAATAATAATAAAACAACCAAAAAACGTACAAGTTACAGTATGGGTATTGCATTGCAAATTTCATGATGTACAGAATCTCAGAAACATAATTCGTGAATTAATAAAAAAAGGGCTCGATAATGAATTCATTTATGGTATGATGACAAAATGTCTAGGGAATAGTCGAAGTAAATAATACAAAATGATACATTTACAAATGATTACAACGAACGCTGGTAGTCAATGGTCTGAATCCATCCCTCAATAAAGCTGAACTAAAAATACCTGAAATATTAGTTCACTGGACAAGGAACATCAAATGTGACACAGCATAATGCATCAGAAGGAAGAACGGTAAATTTTGCAATGGATCCCGATTTGAAAGGAAATGTAATACCACTGTCAAATGCCAAATGACCTTCATCCATAAGTGATCGGATGTACAATCTGATTTGAAGAATTAAACAAAAAACCCATTACTAATTAATTATGGAGGCTAACTTAGTTTTTACATTACTTATGGTTTGATTATGTACATATTAAGATTTCTCATCACTGATGTGTGATCAGGTAATAAATATACATTCAACCTATGAATTTATATCTATCCTTATTATTGGATCATCATCACTATTAATCTTGTAGTGTCGGTTGCTATGTTAAGCCCACATACCTTATTCTAGCTTCTGGACAGGGTAATTTATCCATTCTTCTTGAGCCACGTTTTGACCTTGCAAATTATTCACTTATCAATTCTAACTGTTTTTATATGAACGTGTGTATATGATCTTATCCTACTAATCACATGTATGTAACCTATTTTTATTTGGCTATAAATAGTGATTAATGGGCGTTGGCTCAACCGCCTTCTCCACCGCGCGTCGTTTCGCTTCACTCTCTTCTCTTCGCTTAGTCCCTTTGATTGCCTGCCCAGATCAATGAGTGTACAAATTATATGTATTCAAAAATCCATTCTCGTATTTGACTTATTTAGTTCCGTTAATTACTAACGTAGATTAGGTCGATGATTATATACGAGGATAGCCAGGATGTATATTTCGACAACATTCATACGATCTAATTAGCATCAGATCCCTGGCCACTAAAATCTTCGGAACAGATGATTAATCTATTTAGCCATCACCATACTTGTTTCATACTGAATTCATATTACTATATAATCATACACCAAACATTTGATCTGATCACAATTAAATTATTGTCTCTCACTTTAGGTCATTTATATTTGATACTCATTATTAATCTTACAATTTCATTTAACGCATCAACTCATTTAAGTTACCGGTGCATAGTAATCGTTTCAACACTAACAATTTTATGGTATTTTACAAACAATCTTGAATTCACACTATAATTTGAAACGATGTACTTGGCTCGAATCTGTTCACTTTTGGGTTTTCTAATTTCAAAATAGAACTGTAGAAACTGAAGAGAATTTATTGAAAAGAATATTCTCCGTTCAAATATCTGTATTTTAATATGATGGGGAAATTTTTTAACAGCTATAAAGCGATTAGTTAATATTTTCTGTCTTCTGATTAGATGCTGATTGATAGCAATCATTAGTGATTGAAGTTCTACAGGCGCTGTTCCATAGTTATTGTATGTTACTGGTAAGAATGAAGAGAATTAATCCGATGACTGTTAAGTGAACTAATCAACAAATGGTCAACTACTCTTAATATCGACCGGCTCGATCAAACTGATCCAATAATTAGGAGAAAAATTTTGAAAATCCAGCAACAGCATATTTGAAAAACAACGTCAACACTGTAGCGCAAATCCCATAAAGTTAAAGATATATATATATATATATATATATATATATATATATATATATATAATACTGATAAACTTACTCTGTAGCGAAACCATGCGGTTTGGTAACTTTGAATACACCTAAGAGCAAAAATAGCATAAATTTAGTGCTTCAAGAAATGGACTTATCCTATTTAGATAGAAATTCGATTATAACAGTAAAAATAACGATAATCATAATAATATTAATACAATAGATTAATTCTATAAATTGACAACTATGATTTACATGTTCAAATTTTTAGCTATTATTGACTATATTTAGTATAAAATGAATATTCGATCAAACTAGAAATATGTAGTTTTATGTAATTTGGATTCACGTGGGATAGTTACGATAATTACACAGTTACTGAATATGTTATATGCGTGGAGATAGTCGATAAAAAACCTCAGAACTACGTTCCACGTTAGTTGGCACTCGCCAGTATAGCGTACCTGCATTTGTGAGAGAAGTGATGCTTTCTTGTGAGGTCCGAACCCACATAACCCAGCTTTAAAGTCCGAGAGATTCCCACCAAATAACGTATTAGACTGTGGAGCTGAGTGACACAGGTTCGAAACCTACAGGGATTACCAATTCCCCAGCCAACAAATAGTGATCAGCGAGAAACCAAGATCTAAGGTTTCCCACGGACCACTTTCAAGCACCTAACACTAAAAAACTGAACGACGTGACTCGTTACTTAGAGTAATGGACACATTGCAACTAGATCAATAGAATTTGATTACAGTTTAAAAGGAGTTACAGTGACTTTTTAAGTCCTGACTAACAATACTACTACTAGAATAACTGAAGTAAAACAAGTTAAGTGGAGTCTGAACCGGGAACCTAATGTATGAAGTCAATTATGTCAAGCATTAAACCACTGTTCCACAAGTCCAAAAGGGTACATGTAACAGTTAATCGGATAAGTGATAAACGCAATATTCAACGTCAGTAACAGATTCCCATTGAATTCAGTGCATTTTTTAAACTAATTGTTCGTATCTAAGTTTATAAAAAAACACTTAAGTCTTAAATGAATAAATTATTTTGGTAACCTATAAACCATTTGTAAAAACAAAAGTCGATCTAAGCTAGACCATTATTGAAAACCAAGTGAGCGATACTGCGGTTAGATGAAGAGTGCTACGTAAAGATGATAAATCACTTGGTGAGGTAGTGAATACTAATTATCTAAGGTAGTTGGAGCATGTGTTACGTAAGCCCAACCGTCACCTACCTCACGCGTTGTTAGCCAGTGTTAGAATAGGCTAAGAGGAAGGTAGATGTAATCAAAACAAAACGTGATATCAGTCCATGAAGTCATTGACCTACGGTATGGGGTATGTTGGTAGATGCAGAACACCTTACTGAGGTTTACGCAGTCACCAAAATCAGTGGATAGAGACGAGTGACAAGAGCCAGAATAGGTCACAATAGCAAGGATGAGTCTATTGTTTGTCACCCTCTAGGTCTTGAGTTCCAGTATTTTTCCATACATTCCTTTTCATCTTGTCCTTCCGAACTATAATCTCGATCTTTAATCTTTCTAATTATCATAGTAATGATAATTTTATCAAAAAAAACCTCTCTATATCACATTACCCTTTAGAGGTGAATCAAATAGCCTTTCATTGAAACAAAGGCTTAAATCATTTATTAACAAGACGTACTATGTAGCAAAGGTCATTATCAAAAGAAAAACAAGGTCTATGCTTCATTAAAAATCTAAAAGGCACGAAAACGGTTGTGTCACATCCCACTGAGTTGATCAATTTAAATATGTGTGTGGCCACACATACATAGGAAGGAGTAATCATGGTCTCCAAATTAGAAAGCGTGAACATGTATCTAAATTTCTAAAAAACACACAAATGAAATCAAATCACCCAACAAGAGTAGATGATAAACATCCATCATCCTCTATTACCAAATACAGTTGAATCGGATAATAAGATTGATCTTAACACGGCTTTTGTGGTGTTGTACAAGTGTTAAATGGTGTATAATAAGGCTTATTGAAGCCTTAGCCATACGAAAATTCAAACCCCCTTTAAGTATTTCAAAACAGTTTGTTCTCATCTTAAACCTACCCTAGTAATATTGGCTTATCATCCAGCGTGGTGGGTTTTCAAATTGTTTTTCTTATTATTTCCTTTATCTTTGCCTCCTGCATTTGTCTAGTTTACCTTTTGTTTTCTCCCATACAAATGTTCTTATCGAGTATATGTGTGATCAGATTGTTCGGAATGTATTGCGCTAATATATCACATAGTTCCGATAATCTTCGTCTTTTTATTTGATTATTCAAACCAACTTGATATGTGTTTCTGTGAGCTGAGATCTAAATTTTGACTTACTGAATTGCACACATGAAAGTTTTTGCTCAAGGTTGAATCAACTTAAACACAACGAACATTCAGTGTGTTGTCGACTCCGAAACTTGATCTATGTTAATAACGAATCGAATTCAGTCGACATAGCATGTCTGAAGCTATTTTCCAGACAGATATCAGTTTGCAATTCTACTGTTTCCAGCTCAAGATCTTGAATAGCTGCATAAGCATTAAAATCTTTAAAATGCTCTGAAGACTCATTCTTAAGTCCTGAAATCGAGCAACTGTAGTCTTGAGTACATCTTGGTCAGACCACTTGTATCTCCAAATGTTGCGAAATGAATATAGTCAATTTTTTCACTTTCGTGAGACAGCAAGGTTAAGTTTCATTTAAAAATTCATTTCCTAAGGATTTAATATAAAGTCCTAAATATCCAAAAAGCATACTATTTCCGTTCAGGTCAATTTTATGAATATCTGTTAGTGATTTTTAATTTGTTTAACCTAACTGTTATGTAAAATATTAAATAAAAACTTACCATTGTTCAATGGATCTCTAACTGTATACATCATTTGACAATCTTCTGGATTAAAAATAAATGATTTATTATATGATGCCTCAATTGTTTCAATTAAACAATCCAATGTAATGACATTTGAATTCCCAAATGAAGATGTATTTGTACCATGATCTAGTAAATAATTCGACAAAATAATTGGATTTATCTGTTGAACAAGATCAAATAATTTTCTAATATTCGATTTGGATATTTTATTAATTTGATGAGACCATGAAGTGGAACCTGTACCAGTAGAAATGACTAGACCACTTGATTTTTGTTTTTCAATAGTTTTCCCGGAATCAATTGAGATATCATAAACGGAGACACTGAGATTAAACAAAAAACGATTAGCGTACTAGAATGATCAATATTTGCTGAGTTTTAAATATGATAAAGAAAAATGTTTATACTACTGGATCGCTTTAGCCAGTTAACTACTGAAAACTATGGACGACAGTTGGTTTATCATATTTGGAAAGTATTTAATAGTATATGTTCACAATGACACGAGAAAGTGAATCCATCATATTTAGGTGTTCCGTTAAGTGCATCATCTGTAGACCACCGGGATATATTTCACAGCTCTATTAGTTTGCAATATTGCGCTACTAACATCAACTGCCATCAGTAATGTCTATTTCGTTTCAGAAATTATGGAAATGATATTGACCAATGAATGGCGATTTGAAAGGACTTTACGTCACAAAGTGCTACACTAATGAAACATCTCACAAAAAATTGTGAATATTAATCAGCTGTTTGATCATCTCAGAGAGATTTCGCAGGGAGGAAACATCCAAAACCTTTTATCAAACTTAAATTATTATTCATCATAATCCAAGAGGTATCTTCACCGAGTCCAATGTGACATAAATGACATCAGTCGGGTTTTCGGAGCTCAGTTTTTATCTACCCTAAAAGTTTATGTTAACCAAAACCAGCTAGGTATCTACTTTTATAACTTGTAAACTTCTAAATATTACACATCGTCGCATACTGTTTACCATTACGTTTTACTGGACATTCAAAAACTGCTATATTCCGAAGAGCATTGAAGGAAATTAGTGGGATAATTTGTAAATCTAGTATTATTATGAATATAGTTGTGGGCAGACATCCTAAATTTTGCAAATAACTGGTAAGTGTTATTTTATCACATATAAACTGTTCAATTAATTCACAATTCCTTCTTGTACATCTTCTATTCTAATTGAATGAGACATAAATTCATACACGCAAAGAATAATACAAAATCTATAAAATACCATATCTAACAAATATATAATGCGATGAACAGATTGTAAAAGTTGACCTGATCAAAAGACCTATCCTCTTGAAAATCCAGGTTATTCTCTACTTACTTATTCTTTTCTTACGGAAATTTGATATAGTTTTACCATACATATGCATGTTGCGATATCGACAAAGAGTGAGAGAAAATTGTTGAAATATTGTATACTGACTATTCCATAATGTACTAAACATATAATAACGAATACGACCGTTATTATTATCATTATAATTAAGCAATAGTTTCCAATAACTAATATAGTATTTAACTAAGCCTGAGGATTAATTTGCAAGTAAATCGTAACAGTTTTTTCAACCACTCTACCACAGACTACTGCTGTGGTGAAGAAAGACTCAAGTAAGGCAGACCAATTTATTGTTTTGTAAAAAAAATACACAGTGGCTTTGTAAAATATGAAAATCATACATTAAATACAGTATTTGCACATCTTCCTTTTGTTGTCTTTAACATACTCAATCATTCTTCCAATTCTATTGTTATCCCGATTTCTCTGTTTTCTTTCTTCTTCTTCTTCTTGTTGCTGTTGCTGTCTTCATTTCAATATTCTGCTGGTACGTATTCCACTTCCGATTTTCGCTACATATTACTTATATCTGTCCACATAGCAAGCGTACACCATACTACTTCTCACTAAATTAATAAACTTCCTAAGATTTTAAGAATCTACTATTCATAGAAAATGTCATATATCATTACTGACTGACTTAACAACAAATCAATCAGTGGAAATACAAATATACTTATGCAGATAACACAAATAAGGTCACCAGAAGAAACAACCATGATACATTGTAGTGCAGTAAAACGTTTCTTCAAAAGATCGATTTTTCACATACCTAATACACATATCACTCATTGAGATATTAATGTTTGTGCATGAACACTTAACTTTGTTTGATTGCCGACAATATTCAATGAGTTCGTATTCACAAACAAAAAACTAAGACAAGAATGAAAACTCCGTATATCATGGTGAAATCTGAATCTCTAACAAAAGAAATGATATGAATACTTACATAAATAAACAGAAATAATGAAGATAAAGACTACTTCTGTAAGAAACAGAGAAAATAACGTGAATTTAAAAATTCGTTGATGAAACTTGGTCAAAATCTACTTGCTTTAATTTCAACCAACAAATCATGTAGAATAATAGGAGGCAGAAATGAGTGTATAGAAAGATTATAAAATAAATTTTTAAAAAACAACACCCGATCACAACATTTATTATTAAAGATTCCTGACAGATAATAAAAGGAAGAAGTAAGCAAGGATCAAAGTCTATGATACCAATGAAATCTACTGATTGAATTGATAATTAAGTTAAAAATAATGTTAACCAGTTGATAGATTTCGATTAAATAAATGAATTTAATTAATTAGTGGCTGTTCGTTAATTGTTTTCAATGAATAAAAACTACAAAAGTTTATTCAGTCAAACCGGTTAGCATTATTAACAAATAGTACATTTCCCATCAAATCAATGCATAATCTAATTTATTTATAGGAAATTGTAATACTGTAGTTTTAAACTATATCGTAGAAACTGATAATTTGAAATTATAACATTAAGCGTTGTAGCACACAGGATCATGTCATATTACAAATATTTTATATCAGAAGGGGTTTTGTGGAGATTTTAGAAGCACTGGATGGCCGTTTCATCCAATTGTGGGATTCCTCAGCAGTGGTGACCAGTGGAGTTCAACTAGGTCTGTTGTCAGATAGTAACTCACTGAAGACAATGGTGGATGTGTCGCTCAATTTCGTGGATTAGTTGAAGTTAAACATTAACACCGTTGGATGCCGGCTTAGTGGTCTAGTGGTTAAGTGCTCGCGCGCAAAACAAGTAGGTCCTGGGTTCGAATCTCGCAGGGGGCGAGGTCGTGGATTTGCACTGCTGAGGAGTCTCACAATAGGACGAAACGACCATCCAGTGCTTCCAGGTTTTTCATAGTGATCTAGCTTCAACTGACTCATGATCTTAACCATTGAAATTACTATAATATCCACAAAACCCATAAAATATAATTAAGTTGCTGAGTTGTATATTTTGCTTTATGATAGTAGATATGTAGAGGAATAACATAATTCAAGATCGAAACGAACATACAGAGTGGACGTACCTGCACCATTAAGGACAACTACGAGGCATATTACCATAAATAAAAAAAAAAATTAAGTATACACATTTAACTTAGCAAACGATAGTCTAACCTAGTTTTCTTTCTTCAATGTATGCTCTTGATGAAATAAATGAATTATGTTGAATTCCAACTGGCAAGTGATATGTGGATATTACACATTATAGGGAGTAAATAAACAGAGTGAATTTATTAAACTATATAACAATGATGTATGTATTAAACATTATTTATATCCAAATGAGATTTGTAAAACATTGACATTAGTCAACGTTACACTTCTATTCAATATAACGAACTGACTAATTGATGTAACTCATTAACTATGTACATCTTTATTTACTTAATTCATTTTTATATTATTTTTTTGGATCTTCCTATTGATGTTTAGGACCGCAATTGATCGGTCTCTTACTAGCATATGTGCATCGTGTGAGGATTGCTTCGATATTGCCTTGAACCACAAACATTATAAGCAAAGATGGATAGTGGCTGGCAGTGGAATCCAGGATGCGCGTTTCGTCCTATTCGGGACTCGTCAGCTGGATGTGCCCGTTTCTCAGAGTTGATGTTCACTCCGAGCTTATAATGTATGTGACTTAAGGCAATATCGAGGCAATTCGCACACGATGAATATATGCTAATAAGAGACTGATCAATTGCAGTCGTAAACATCAATGGGAAGATCCAAACAAACAATATAAAAATGAATTAGGCTAGTGACTATTTGGACTCGTTAGCTAGGTGGATAACCCGATGGAGTTTGAAGCGAACGGTACCGTGTTCGAGTCCCGGGGTGAACATCTGACTCTGCATGCGGGTACATTCAGTTCCAATTGGGACGAAATGCAAGCTCTGGTATCGTTCCACTACTAGCCACCATCCATCTCTGCATATTTATGTAGTTAGTTTATTGCCATAATTTATGTTGAATTTTAATGTGTAGTATCCTTTGGTCACGATAATCCACTTGACTTCCAAAATCAGGGCAAGAATTACGACACTGATACCGAATACCAAACAACGTAAACAACTCACTAAATATATCTGACAGCTTAGTTACTGTCGCCTCAAAACTGAGTTACTGAGGTAATTTCCGCAGAATATAGTCAGAAATGTTTTCGTTAACTCTCAATTCATTCTGTGATTTGGGATGAGTCGAATGAAACATTTTAGTTGCAGAATAGACGGTAGTTGAGTATAACACTGAGTGTGATAGCTGGTGATTGTTCGGTCGCCCAAACCGTCGTAGATAAAGAAAGGTTTGAATTTCAGACCAAGTGGGTAAAATGTGATTTTTTAAACTCATGATTGATAAAGAAAATAATAATTCTTTCCGAACTGACAATTTCACACCATAAAAAGTTCCATGTACTTTAATTGTGTTACAAAAAATAACTAACTAACCATGCGCTTGAAGCAGCCCCAGCAAAAACCTCATTCAAAGCAAATACAGGTAGTAATGTTGTCTTCATTTCACTTGGACAACAAGATGGAAATAGTTGGCATGATGAAGAATCCAGTGGGGTATTTGATAATTCTATTTCATGAATACTTTGGTTAATTGGTTTATTTTTATCCAAAGGTTGCATTATCAACTGATCATTTTTTGAATGAGTTATGGTGACACGTATACGCTGACGCCAAAGCCATCTGAAGGTTAAATTAGTTTAGCTATGATAGCGCAATAACAAAAATGTTAAGTTAAATTCGGAATAATATAAAACGTTTAACCATTCACCCTGACTTTATTTTGATTATTGATAGCTATTTCATACGCGTCACAATCTCAGTTACAATAAAAATGCCTAAGTATTGATCAAATCATTTTAACCATGCCATCGTTTGCATATTTTACAACTTTGATAACTATATTTCATAAATGTAAGGAAGCACCGAGCAAATAATTAACACACTTCAGTTTACAATGTGTGTAGATAACGTTCATTAGCTACAGATACCAGAAACATATTGAAATCTATGCAACGAGGTTTAGATTTTGTTGATTAACGGATAATCAACACTAACATAACTTTACAAGTGTCAGTTATTTAGTTCAATCTCGCTAACCAGACTATGTATATGTAAGATATTCTGTTACTCAATGCCATGATTGAATTGTCACGGTTTCGAATTCTGCGTCAGTTAACCTGCGCGTATCCAAGAATTTTTGTCATACCTCAGTAAATTACACTCATGGTTGTGATGTACAATCCCACGAGCAACATTCTAGTAACCTTCAATTAATTTACAATAGATGAAGGCTGGATATTGAGATCTTATTGTAGCCCTTCATGAACAACATAATAACTCTATCCAACTTACCTCCTTCGTCTGATCGGCTGTGAGGATCCGCTAGGTACTCTATGACCATTTCTCCAACACACAAATTTAATATGCGGCTTCAGATTCTTACAGAAATAAGAATGGCGAAGTGCATAATGACAGTGCATCACCATTTCATAATTTCTGGTGCTCTTCAACGCTTCAATTGATTAAAACGCTACCAGATACAACGTCCTTAAGAACACGTTATTCGGGTACGCGAGAACGTACGAAACAATAAAGCCTGTACTTTGTACGTTATTCACGTTCATAATTTGGAAAAAAAGTGATCAGTAGAGAGATATTTATCTTTTATATCAAATTTCAGAAATAACTAACCAATTATTACCAGTTTTAAACCGATCATTTAAATGGACAAAACGGGATGAGAAAATTCTTATCAAAAGTCAAAACAATCTCAGAGAAAGATGGACATATTATTCATTCTCAATCCAGGAGATTGGATCGATGGGCAGAACACTTTAGGGATCAGTTCAACTGGCCTTCAGCCACACTTCAGTTTCCCACGATCTCTAGTCAACCTGAATGGCAAGTTGATGTAGGTCCTCCGTCCCTTTACGAAGTTGAAAAAGCCATAGGAAATCTGAAACGAGGGAGAGCAGCAGGCCCTGACAGGTTTACTCCTGAGATTTTTAAGGATGGTGGTCCAGTATTAGCAATGAGATTAACCGAGGTCTTAGGTAGAATTTGGGAACTGGACGTAATCCCATCTGACTGGTCTCAATCACTGATTGTGCCAGTCTATAAGAAAGGACAAAAGTCCTCTTGTGACAATCACAGAGTAATCAGTTTGACTAATATAGTGTCTAAAATATTAGCCTCAATAATACTTCGACGCCTAATCAAAGCTCGTGAAGAGCAGATTAGAGAAAACCAGGCTGGTTTTCGACCTAGACGTGGTTGTATAGATCAGATATTCACACTACGTCAGGTTCTAGAACACAGACACACGTTCAGACGCCCCACAATCGTAGTATTTCTCGACCTTAAGGCGGCATTCGATTCTATTGATCGTGAGGTTCTATGGCAGTGTTTGTCACTGAAAGGAGTACCAAAGAAGTACATTAACCTTATAAAGGCTCACTACTCGAACACAACTGGTAGAGTGAGAGCTTATGGCGAACTGTCATCAGAATTGATCACCTCAAGTGGTGTTCGTCAGGGCTGTCCACTCTCCCCATTCTTGTTCAACTTTGTCATTGACGTACTTTTAGAGATAACACTCTCCTCATCTAAATATACAGGGGTTGAACTCCTACCAGGAGGTTCACTTGTTGACTTAGAATATGCAGATGACATAGTTTTATTTGGTGAAGACGCTGACAAAATGCAGAGTCTTCTGACCACTCTAAGCAACAATGCAAGCATGTTCGGGATGCGATTCTCTCCCTCGAAATGCAAAATGTTGCTTCAGGATTGGGTTACATCGACACCCGAACTAGTGATAGGGAGTGAAGTAGTTGAGTGTGTCGACCGCTTCACTTATCTTGGAAGTCTCATCAGCCCTTGTGGTTTAGTGTGTGACGAAATCTCAGCACGGACACAGAAGGCTCGACTAGCTTTTACCAACTTGCGTCATTTATGGCGTAGGCGAGATATCTGTCTATCATCCAAAGGACGTGTTTACTGCGCAGCAGTTCGTTCCGTCCTACTTTATGGCAGTGAAACATGGCCGGTAAGAGTAGAGGATATCCGTAGGCTACTAGTATTTGATCATAGGTGTCTTCGAAACATTGCTCATATATCATGGGACCATCGAGTAAGTAACACAGTTGTTAGGAAACGGGTACTAGGTAAGGATGGTAAATCAATTGATGAAGTAGTGAAACTTCATCAGTTGAGATGGCTGGGACACGTGTTACGTATGCCCAACAACCGACTGCCTGGACGTGCGATGTTCAGTGGTATAGGAGTAGGTTGGAAGAAAGCTAGGGGCGGCCAAACCAAAACATGGCACAAATCCATGAAGTCACTGACAAGTGGACTGAGCCATGTTGGTAGGTGTAGACTACTTGGTTGGGGACCGCGAGATGACACCAACCGATGGTTAGAGACCCTGAATGACATGGCTCAAAATCGTTTGCAATGGCGCAGGTGCATCCACTCTCTGTGTTCTCCCAAATTCTAATCTTCTGAATTCTTCATGTCCCTTTTTTTCCTCTTTCCAAATTTCTTTCACTGGATTATACTCTTTAAATAACATCTCCAAACCCTAATCTTCCCGACTACTGCTTATACTCTTATTACCTCTACCACTACGGGATTTGAATCGACAACTGCATCTCTGTGCTAATGTGGTGTGGCAACTCGAACTGATGTACGTACGTACGAAGTTCTACGTTGTTACTGACTGACTGACTGACTATATGAAAAAGCTCGACATCGCAGTGCACAGTGTTTGATGATATGTAGTAGAGGGCAATCAGTAGAACTGAAAACTAGATAAAATGATATTGGTCTTTGTTGGATTCCCGATAGTGTAAGGGTGAATAAGTTAGATAATAAAAGTGGTCCAACACACATTGCATACATGGACATAATATTAAAAGTTCTTGGATAGATTTCAAATAACTCGATCAAGGTGCGATTCATAGTTTAACAGAAATCTTCTTCAGATTTTTCGCTAATAATTTGAGTACTTAGCTTACATAACATATTGTACCAGCTATATATTTGATGTCTGAAGTGCTTCAGAGATAATTTGGATTTATAGAACTAAAATTTGTGATGATACTGCTCGTCCGTAGGACGAACCTTCAGTTGTACATAACACTTGCAGAAGATAAATTCAAATGTTTAGGATCTATAGATGGTGGAGATTTTAGTAAAAGATAATGGCTTTGTTGTAATCAAAACTTCAATGTTTTTCGCTGATGATATTGTTTAGGGAATCAATGAAAGCTTTATAATAAGACTATCCTGAACAAAGGACCCTATTTCAATAAGTTGTTGCTCACAATACACTGATTAATTCCCAAAATTGAATTAATTACTAATCAAACGAGCAACTAACACAATTATTCTTTTCCATCCTATTTGAAATGTTTGACAAGTGAAAATAATAAATTTAATTAACATGAATCAAAATCAAAATATTTGAATAAACTAATAAAATAAAAACAAAACTGAATTTGATAGTTGTAAATTGATCATTGCACTTACTGGAAATGTTTTGATAAAAGAAGATGAATAGCTGTAGGAACATTGAAAGTACACCATTTCGGTAAACATAAAAATCCATGAGAGCTACATATACAGAAATAAATGGAAAGAATACTTCGTTAAGAAGTTTATTTACTTATTTAAACACATGAACATTGCTACAAAGAAGCACTGTCTCTACTCATTTGAAAATATATTGTTTTTTCTATTCATCTCTGGCATGCAAGGATTATGAAATAAATTTACAAAACGCTGTGGTTATTTCAAAAAACGCAGACAATTTTTTTTAAATTTGGTTATTTTAAAAAACCCTGTTGAATAAAAAGAAACGAGTTCAAATACTATAGTTGGCCTTGAGTAAACGTTACTGATACTATTAGCCTGTCCAAAGCAAATTAAGTAGGGTAAAGTTATAAACTGAAATCTATTTGGTTGAAAGTTAAGCGTTTCAAACTCAAAAACAGTGTGGGACAAGACCAACAGGGGGATAAAGTAGGGGAACTGAAGATGGATTTTCTGAAGATTATTATTTTATTATCTTGTCATTTATGGCCCACAAATGCCCTGGTTCGGTCGATGGTGAGGAGAGTCAGCTCTCCCTTTCGAAATGCTCTCAAATGGCCACGTGCATACAACACTGTCAGGGAAATCCTACTCACTGCCTTTTCGCTACGAGGGTGTTGTTTACGAAATTGAGAGGACGAAAAGCGAATGTTCGGCGCCTTAATCGGGTTGGTGGATGTAGAGGACCCACCTAGGGCAGTTGAAAAACCCTGATTCCAAAGTGATGGTAAATATGGGCTTTAGGATGCTAAGCGACCAAATAGCGTATGAACCTATTGTTGGTCACCGGCTACCATAGGACTGCATCTTCTAACGTTGCTTCACTGCCTTATGGATTAGACCTCTAGGTTAAAGGCTCCGGATGTGGCTACCTGAGGAAACCATCTTGTTCGGTTTAGGCACCCGCAAAGTATTCTAGCCCTCACACAAATGGGATGACGAAGTGTGGCGCATATATATTTGGAGCTTCTTCGTACCAATGTTCATGTGTTTAAATGCTCACTAGTGACTGGCTTCAAGAGATATTTCCTGGCAATCAAGTGAAAAGCAATGACCAGTGGAGTTCAACCGGGTCTGTTGTCAGATAGTAACTCACTGAAGACATTGGTGGACGTGTCGCTCAACTTCGTGGACTGGTTGAAGTTAGACATTAACACCGTCGGATGCCGGCTCAGTGGTTTAGAGGTTTAGCGTTCACGCGCGAGACTGGTAGGTCCTGGGTTCGAATCCCGCAAGTCGGGATCGTGGATGTGTAGTGCTGTGGAGTCCCACGGTAGGACGAGACGTCTGTCTAGTGCTCCCAGGGTTTCCATGGTGGTCTAGGTTCAATTGACTCATGATCTCAACCATTGAAATAAGTAGTTATTTTCGTAAGAGATAAACCGTCATTATAATTGTCAATCGCTACTATTCAGTAATCTTTAGTGATATTTAAACATACTTACTTTTCTGTTCAATAATTCCTGTATAAGCAATCTATTTTATTCAATAAAAAGCTCTCTTTTGATCTTTTTGATACCAGTTCCTTTGGGGAACGTGTGGGTTACATCAACAATCCGGTCTCGAGGAGAACAATCAATCGACTACATCATATCACTGGATTCAATACATTGATCATGTTAAATAGCTTAAAACTGGTTTTATTAATATAAACGAATAATTTTATGTCACCCTAAGCTAGCCGATACCAAGCAAGTCACTGAAGTCAATTTTCCCACGTGTAAGCGTACTGAATATTGGCAACGTTGTAGTTGGTGAACTAGGATCTGCAGTTTCAGCGAGTTGTATATGGATTGAAAGGTATGAAACTTCGTTGCTTAAACAACATAATAATTGTTATCTTAGCACTGGACTTATCCATATTTTTAAGGCACACTTCATTGAGCTGTTCCCACTTCATGATCACCACAATGTTTACGCAATTGTTCAGTTAAACGGAAGGTTAAAACATTGGATTTTCGATTATTAGACTGTAGGCTTTAGACTAACTCCATCTTATTTTATTTAGACAGCCATGTAACACTACCAACTGTCACAGAAAACATCTGATTAAAAGTCAATCATATGGAATATTATGTCAATCTGACTTAATGATCACACCACTTGACCAAAAAAATGAGTTGCACGTTCGAGCCCTGCTACATTTACTTTCTATCAGGATAGCTTGGAAGTATAAGGACCAAGACTATGTGATTCACTTGTGCCATTAGTATCAGTTGACTAGCTTAGAGACAGTGTTAACTTGCAACATATGTGAGCAAATATGAAGCGGCTATAAAGAATAAATTAAATTAGTTGACAGAAAGCTTTACATTATCCATGCTCTGTATATCTTAAGTATGGAAGTAACCCTGATAAGATAGCTGAGAACTGGTCACAAAGACTTAGTTGCATTTAATCTTGTCATTTCCCACCATAGATCGTGAGGCTCAATATTTCTCAACACAGACCTTATCATCCCCATAACCATTACTACTACTTTTATTTTCCTGTTATTTGTTGTCCTTGGGCTGGCATAAATATGTTCCCGGCTTTACGGTATGACTAAATGAGTTCAAACGATACTTAAGTCTTTTTAGAAATAAAAATCTTAAATATTCACTATTTTAACTACGGGAAAAAGGTGTGCACTGATGAATTGTCTCATGCTAGAAAGAAGTTTTTTAGACTACCCCCTAGACTTTCAATTGTCCTCTGACTGATATCAATCATCTATAGGGACAATATTCAAATAAAAAACTAGTCACAAATAATCCCTTAACTGAAGTAGAAATTTAGCAATTCTACTTTACTGTCTTATAAATTCCATTACTATTAACATTTTGTTTTTCAAAAAAACTTACAATGAAGGATCAGTGTTAAAACCGATAATTGGTTTATTAGGATGTAGAATTTTACTAGCACCAAGAAGAAATGTTCCATCACCACCAGCAGTAAAAACAACATCTGCCCAATTAACAGAATCCACTGAGTAATCATGACGATCCACAATATGTACTTCTAAACCATGGTCTCTAGATATATATACACATTTTAAAAACAAAGAAAGAAGTGCATATTTATTAAATAGCCACAGTTACTAACTAAATAACTCATAAATAAACACTTCATGAAATAAAAAAACCTATATCACATAAAAGTAAGGTCTATAAACAAGTACAGCTAACAAAATTGAGAATGAACATATCGTAAAAATATTACTATTAATTTCACTAAAATAAAAAATAAAATGTATCTATCAACGGGTTAAGCCTACTATATTGAAGAGTTGTCGCCTGAAATCTTGACTTGTGACAATGTCGCGAAGAAACAAGTATGTAACTCATTAATAAGAACAATAGTATATTTGGAATGATTTATTTATTTTAACACATAGATACTGGCACAAGAAGGTACCAAATACATATGCGCCACACAAAACTCATTTGATATGTGTGAGGGCTGTGATACTGCCCGGGTGCCCAAACCGAAGCAGGTAATTTCCCATCCTCACCACTACAATATTCTTAAAATACACGAGCAATTCTTCGAAGACACCTATGATCGAATACTAGTAACCTACGAATATCCTCTACTCTTAATAGCCACGTTTCACAACTATGAAGTTCGATGGGTTGAAGTGTTGCACGCTAAACTTGTGCTTTTGTTGGCAAACGGATGTCCCGCCTTCGCCACAAGCGACGCAAGTTGACAAACGCCAATCGAGCTTTTTGTATCCATGCCGAGATTTCGTCAGACACCAACCCATCGGGACTAATCAGACTCTCGTGATAAGCTGACGGTCGAAGCACCCTACTCCCACTTACTAATATTAGTTCAGGCCCTGATGAAGTCCAGTCTTGAAGCAACATTCGACATTTTAAGTGAGATAATCGCATCCCAAAAATGCTGGTGTTGCTCTCTAAGGTGGTCAGAAGACACAGAACTTTGTCAACGTCTTCACCAAACAAAACTATATCATTTGCGTATTCTAAGTCAACGAGTGAATCTCTTATTGAAAGATCAGCTCCTGAAAAGTCAGACGATGAGAGCATTATATCTTAACAGACATCTATGACAAAGTCGAATGAAAATAGAAAAAGCAGACAACACATCTTCAGCTTTTGTTATCCACGACTGCCCATGATCATTGAGTAGCCTTTTCATCAATCTGCGATAATTGAATTTCTGACGTTTCTTGGTTTAGTGTAAATAGCTTCTTCAGAGAAATAATGAATAACTAAGTTAAATCGACACTTACGAACATACAAGCCATTTTAACTCTACGCTATACATACCATCAGATTGTCTACACCCACCAACACATAGATGTACATCTCAAGTAGGATGTACTTGACCGAAATGACGTGACATTCTCATAACTACGCTTGTTTTCATTCTAATGATAGTACTAAAAACTTTCTTCTTTGTTTGGTTCGTACAATTTAAACTAATG